AGGCAGTTGGGAGAACCCTGGGTTTAAATTCTGCCACTTGTGTGCTGTGCAGTCTTGAAGGAGTTGCTTGACTTCTCTGAGCCTGTTTCTTCATCTGTAAAATGGGGAGAATAACTGTACTTTCTCATGGGACTTGAGGTGAGATTCAAAAAGAGCAGGTATGTTAGACCCTCGAAAGCTCCCTAGGTGGTTCTAGCCTGCAGGCAGGGCTGGGAACTGCTAGGTTACAGTGGGAACGCAGACTTCCCATGTCCAGGCCAGGTTTCTTTCTTTTCTGCCAGGTGCCAGTTGGGGTAGCAGGTAGCTGGCTAAAGCTTAGGCACGCGAGACTCTGCTTCCAGCCTTCGCCTTCTTATGGCCTGGACGTGGAGGCGGCAGGCGGCCCCGTGGAGCACAGCAGGAAAGGGGCGGCGCACCTGGGGAGGCCTAGTGGTTAATCAGGCCGCTGGGCACAGTGCCCGGTCTCTGGAATATTCATAAGGCCCCTCCAGCTGTGCCAGGCAATCAGGGTGCTGATTGCTCCCCCATCTGCAGCTTAACATTCCACTCCAGAAAGGAGAGAGCTGGCGGCTGAATGTTAACTAGGGAAAAACAGGCTGTGGCCTTCTCAACAGCAGCCTGAACAAGAGCGGGGGAGACAAATCCACTCCTTTGAGATCTGCCAGCCACCCAGAACTGAGCCGTTCACCAGAGCCACGGGCAGTGCAGAGAGTCACGCATTCAGAAATAAGTGAGCTGGTTTCAGGTCCAGCTCCTGCCCTGACCAACTGTATGCCCGTCTCTGCAGCCTCAGTCTCCCCAGCTGTAAGATGGGGATGGCTCTACCTTCCACCCAAGAGGATTGATGAACACAGAGTTTGTTGGACTAGGGTGCTGTTCAACGGCAAAGCATAGTCATCGTGGTCGTTTGTAGTTTTTGTGGACATGGCTTCCAACCCCAAGAAACATTTTTAGTCACAAATATTGGAATCTCCAGCAAGCTGGCTTTGAGAGAAACTCAACAAAGGGAGAGACACGCCTGAAGAGTCGGAGCCTCTCTCAGAAGGCTCGGCGGCCTCAGAGCAGGGATGTGGGGTTCCCAGGCTAGTGCCCTTCTCAGCCGGCCCCAAGCTCTCAGAGAAGCAAGAAAGGAATGGGAAGGACAACTGACAGAAGACAGGAAAAATTCAGAGAAGAACTACAAAAGCAGACAATGTTCTGTGGCTTTCTGGTCACTCAGGAAAAGTCAGGGGCCATTCAGCATAGGGACAAAAGCATGCCACCACGAGTTCACAGCTCATAATTAATGCTTCTGGTAATGACGAGGATTCGCCAAGAAATGGCCCACGTCTCTTCTGTGTTTGTATTGAATAATACAAGAAACTGTTTCGAGAGAGATTTCTATCAAACTGAGGGGAAAAACCCAGAGCTAAAATAATAGAAGCTTCTCCTTCCTAGAAAATTGACCCATGTGGAGCAGCTCCTCTCTACTGCTGCCGGATAATGAAGGGTTCTGACTTCAGCATTATTGTTATTGTTTGTTAGCCCTGCCTGCTCCTCCCCCCAGACCAGCCCGGCCCAGGCCTGCAGGCTCAGCCCTGACCACTGTGGGCAGGAGACTGCCAGCCTTGACCCCGGCTGCAGGGCCAGGCAGGAGTTTGCCCTGACTCCTAAGCAGCCCCTCTTTGGGGGTGGGACCCTGCTCCACAAAGCATCAGACACGGGGCCCTGCCTCAAACTAAGTGAACTGCTCAGATCAAGGAGCTGCCTCCTCTACCGCCCCCACCGCCACCCCTCGCCCTCACTGTGGGTACTTAGTCAACAAACCGCTTTTATTGTTTTTCCTCTAAAGTACAAAATGTTAAGTCTTCATCTAAAAAAAAAATCTAGAAAATAAAGCTAAGGAAAAAGAAGAAAATGAGAGCACTCATGATTCTAATACTCAGAGATAACCATTTTTAACATTAGGTGCATATTCTCCCAGTCTTTTCCAGATAGGTAGATGGATAGATGGATATTTTTTAATGGGATTAATCATATTTTATCTTTTTTTTCACTTAGTACGTCATAAAATCTTCTCTCTTTAAATATTCCCCTGCATCGGTGGTTCTCTTAAGTGGGGTCTGGGGACCCGTGGGGATCCCCAAGGCTTTTTCAGGGAGTCTATTGGGTTAAAACTATTTTCATAACAATACTAAGACATTATTTTCCTTTTCACTCTCATTCTCTCAGGAGTGTACAGTGGAGTTTTCCAGAGGCTGCATGACTCTGTGATATGGCAACAGACTGAACGCAGAACCAGACACGCAAATTCAGCCGTCTTCTGTTAAGCCGCACTAATTTAAAGAGATTTGCAAAAGTGTAAAACAATGCCATTCTAATTTTTTCTGTTTTGGAAAGTACAGTTATTTTTCATAAAAATATGTTTTTCAGGAGAACATGAAATAGGTTTATTATTGTTAAGTTAATTAACAAATACATATTTTTGAATTCCTTCATTTTTATTTTGAATATGCTAAATATCGATAGAGATAGCCCACATAAGCAAAAACTCTTCGGGGTCCTCAGTAATTTTTAAGAATGTGAAGTGATTCTGAGGCTGAACAGCCAAGAGTGAATGCTTGGGTGTTTCTGATTTGTTAACCCATTTCCTCACTGATGGACTTGCACGTTGCTTCCAATTTTCACTATTATAAAAGTGTTGCACAAATCCAGTACTTAGGTAAAGTGAAAACTTCTTAAAATTAGAGAAAACCACAGAAACCAACTGGTAGGGTGAGCCATCACTATCAGCCCATTACTAATCAAATTAAACAAAATGTATCATAGAATGTGAACAAATAAAGTTGAAAGGTATGTGTACACTGAATATGCATGTATGTATGTGTATAGATACATTGTATATTTCTACAGAGAGAGACTTACACTCGTAAAGAGGACTTTTTTTCCTGCTGTGTTTTTCATGAAGTGTTTACAAAATCTGATCATATTCTAGACCAGTGCTACTGATGGTATAAAACTCTTTGGTACCATTACAGAAATTGAGACGAAAGGTTTAGAAACTTTTAAGCAATTTGAGAGAAAAATTTTATTTCTGTAGAAAATAATAAAAAATTGATGTTTGTAAAGAAATTGAGTACTAAAAAATGCTGCAAACATTTTTTTTTTATATACTTGAGAATAACTCTATAAGATAGATTCCTAGAAGTGGAATTGCTGGGCCAGTGAGCGTGCATCTTTAAATGTTAATAGATATTGCCAAGTTGCTTCCATTTACTAAGAGATGTAAATACACCAAATACACCAAGAGTGTATTTGAGTGCCTGCTCTCGCACCTCTGGCAATACCAAAGATAATTATTGTTTTAAATCTTTTCCTATTTAGAAGGTTAAAACAAACATTTTGTCTTCTGTGAATTGCTTATCTATATCCTTTGCCCATTTTCTATCGAGTTCTTTTTCTTATTGATTTTTCTGGAACCTTTATATATTCTGGACAGGAATCTCTTGTCTGTTATATACTGCAAATATTGTACTCAATTATGTGGCTTGCCTTTAATTTTGCTTACATGTCTTGTTGTAGTACAGAAATTTTACCTTTTAAAAAATTTAATCTAATCTATTAATTGTTTCCTTTATGGTCTGGAGGATTCTTGATTGCTTAGGAAGCCTTTCCTCATTGTATGATTTTTAAAATGCTCTCCATTTTCCTCTAAGACATTTGTAGCTTTCCTTTTTCTTTTTCTTCTTTTTTTTTAATGGTTAGACCTTTGATCCAGCTGGAATTAATTCTTGTTACGGGGTGAGGCATTGACGGGTGACCCTTGTAAGCTGTAAGTGGCGTATGGCAGGATGCCAGCTACGGGCCTGAGCCCCAGTGAGCAGCAACCCACACATGCTGGGGACCTGCAGGCCTGCTGAGGCCAGAGCTGAGCTGGTCCCCGAGGTAGACAGATATCTGAGCCCATCTGGTTTGGGAAGGGAGGCAAGCTACATTTCAGAATCCTTCTTAATGTGTTACTGTTGCGGTGGGCACCTGCAAAGTTGACAAGCAGAGCTGCCAACTTTCCCAAGAAAGTACCAAAGCATCTTTAACGTACTATGCAGTTCACCAGGAGCTTTCATGTCCCTTATCCCACTCGATGCCAATATCACAGATGCAGGGACAGGAGAATTTAGGATCCTCGTTTTACCGTTACAGGAAAAGAAGGTGCAAAGAGGTTAAGTGACATGCCTGAGGTCACATAGCCAGCAAGCGGCAGAGCCCAACTAGAACCCAGACCTCCTGCCACCAAATCCACAGCTCAACATCTCTGTGCATCAGGCTCTGTCCTCAGTGTCTCTGCAGCTGCCCGCTTCGGTGGAAGGGAGGATCTGGCCTAAGCCTTTCCCAAATCTGTGCTCCCCCATTGTGGGTAGAAGAGACTGGAAAAATCCATCCTCCACCAGCTGACGGGGGATTTCGAGAACCAAGGCTTCCTTCCACATGCACCTCCTCCTTCCCTGAGCCGCTTGGCGGAGGCTGGGAATGGAGATGAGTCAGGCGGGGAAGGGACAGCTCAGCCATAAACAAGCGGGACTGACAGCAAGCACTTTCCCTGAGGCGCGTGACCTCCCATGGGCCTCTGGGGACCCCGCCTGCACGGCAGAGCTTCAAAATTTCATGATCTAGGCTTTGCAGATTTAATTTGCTATATTCGCGAAGGCAGCCACAGAAGGGGGGAAACCTTTAGACAGGAGGTGGGGGATGAGGGAGAAGGTAAATTATTTCCAGTCTCTCCGTGGAGAGCTTGCAATGTTTTTTTAATGTGTGCCATTTTTGCAGATGCCTAATATGCCTATGGCGGGGTCGTCATCCCTTCCAGCTCCAAACCAAAAGGACGTCTAGGACGCAGAATTGTAGGGCTGAACCTGGTTTGGAGATCAGTCGTTCCAATCCCTCGGGTTGGAACCACATGTACCCCGAGGGAAGTGACGTGTCCAAGTGAACCAGGGAGGGCTAGGGCGGTGCAAGGCGCCTACCTGCTCCAGGGGGATGACGAGAAAGGAGCCTCCTCCCGCACTCTCGGTGACGATGGCCAGGAAGCGGGCGTTGACAGCACAGAAGTGGTTATCGTGCACATTCTTGGTGATGGGGATCCCGTCGAAGCAGTGCTCCCGGTTGGCCACTTTCCCGTAGACGTTCCGGAACTTGGAGCTGCGGTACTGCGGACGCCAGGACATCTGTGAGGGGCCAGGAGAGACAACGGTCAGCCTGGCCACTGCTTCCTGAAGGGCCTGGGCTGGAAGCTGGGGAGGGGGAAGCTGCTCCCAGGCACGCAGGAGGAGAGGGAGCCCTGGTGCCCCACCTCAGGACACGGGGAGAGGAGAAGGAGCCTCCAAGAATGGTGTGCCCGGCCCTGGGAATTACTCTTTCCATAAAGTCCTACAGGAGCAAAGATGGGCATGAGGGCATTCACACATCTCCTGCTTTGGGTACACACTCCCATCCCACCTACATCCCAGAAAGGATGTAATCGGGTCCTTTCACTTCTAAGGGAAGTACCATGTGATAGAGCAGACCCTCCACCCAACAAGTGTATGGGCTGCCTCCTGAGTGCCAGAAAGTGCCCAACTCAGTAAGGGAGGTGCAGAGGGAGGAGGCTGGGTATTCACATACACAGAGAACACTGCTGATGACCATGGGTGAGGGAGGAAGATGTCCCCCTCTGTGTGCAAAGAGGCAAAAGGCCACCCATTACCATACCCTCCTCTGGTTCTCTCTAAGACTTCTAATCCACAAGTGCACCCTCAGAAATCTCTTAGTCCTGTACATCATCATCATCACCACCAGGCACAGAGAGGTTAAGTGACTTGTCCAAGGCCACACAGCTAATGAGTAGGGCCATGAACACAGGTCTCCTGACTGGAAATCTGAGACTCTTTCCTATGCCAGACTACCCTTTGTAGCCAGATTTCTTAATGTTTGGCCCACAGATCACCTGTTTCAAAATCATCTGGGGTGGAAGAGGTTTCTGAGCCTCCTGCATCATTTGTTAGAAATGCTGATTCCTGAGTCCCAGTCCAGACCTACCGAATCCGATATTTTGGGGATGGGGCCAAAAAATTAGCATTTAATCCAGCTTCCCCCCGCCCCCCATGAGACAGAAGCACACTGAAGTTTGAGAGCCCCTGTTCTAGAGAAAGGAATGAGTGGTACCCCTCCCCAGCCCTCCCTACCCACCATCGAAGACACAGACTTGAACCAACCAATCAACCAGCTCCTACTGCACGCCTGTGCCACGCTGTGCACAGCGGAGAACACAGGTATGCACGAGGGGGTGGGTGGAGGACAGGATGGGCAGCCCACCGTGCAGACCAGCTTTGCTGTAGGATAGCGCCTCCTATGGGGAAGCCCTACAAAGGGGCCCCACAGCAGATGGAGCCCGAGAAGGTGCTCTCCTGGCACATACACGCATCCAAGTGCGACGAGCCACACGCATGTCCCCAGCCAGGGGCCTGGCATACAGCAGGAGCTCAATAAGCGCTTTGTAAAACGAACATGCTTCTGACCTGACTTTGCCATTGTCCATCCCTTCTCCTTCCTGTCAAATCTCCTGATGTGCCTGGAGTCTCCCACTCCGTCTCAGGGCAGAAAGGGACAAGCTCATTTCTTCCCATGAACTTTCCAAGGGGAGGAAAACAAAAGGAACCACCACCACAGAACCAGGAAACCAACTAGGGAATTTGACTGAAAACAAAACTTGGCATGTGACTTAAATAAAGCTGGGAGCTCAGCCACAAAGGCCTCTTGATTAGGAAGAAGTTCAGCTCCAACAAGGAGAATCCCAAGGAAGGCTCCTCACCTTCAGGCAAATCCTCTTCCCCCAGCTCTCTGAGCCCCCACCCCAGCCCTTCTCCTCTCCCCCAGGTCCTCTCCATCCTCCCCACCCCCCAGCCCCTGCTCACGCTGTACCCCATTCCCGCCTGCCTTCTCCCCTCTCTGCCGAGTTCTGCCCAGGACTGTTCAGGACAAAGTCTGCTGCAGAGGCAAGCGCACCGGCCGGGAGCCTGGTCGGTCACTCCTGGCTGTGTGACCCCAGGCAAGCCCTTTCCACTCTCCGGGTTTCCGACTGCTCATCAGGATTACGTCAGTGATCCCCAGAGTGGAGTCCCAGGGGGTCACTCATGGTTCCTTTACACGAACAGAGATGAAGCTTTTAATTGTAGTAGTTATGTGTTTATTTTACTTTGTAGTAGAAAAAATATAACTTGCAGGCCAAATCCACGATTTCACAGGTATTATTGCTAATAAGGCTAAGTTAAAAAATAACGAATCAATTCAAACAAAAATACAGTATGAAAAATATAGTATGGGTGGTACATGGACCTGGTAAAAATTCAATCTGATACAGGAGTGCTGGTAATCGCTCTGTCTCATCCAGGTAGAACATTCTAGATCCCACAGTTCCCATGGAAGAGAAAGGAGGTGGTAAGCTTGCTCACTCCACCCTCTTGTGCCTTGCCGGTGCATTTCTGGCCTGGAATGCCTTCGCCCCTCTCCTCTGCGCAGCCCAACCTTAGCCTTCAGGGCCCGATTCAACTCTGACTCCACAGCCCACAGCAACCTCCTCAGGACCTCTTCCTCGGCTCCTAGTCTAGACCTTGTCACAGGCTCTCTCGTCCCAAGGGCAGGTCTCAGCTCTGTGATGGCAGGCAGTGACCCCAGGACCTCTGAGCAGGACTGAAGACTGGTCTGTGATCTTCCCGGGCAGCTCGAATGAGTCCCGATGCCATGGGGAGACCCGCTGGGCACCAGGCCCCGTGACAGGCCCAGCCCCTCTTTGAAGGGAGCCCAGCCTAGTGGAAGACAGACAGGTGCAGTTCAGCCTTCATCAGAACCCAAGGCCCAGGGAGCCACTTCCCAGCCCATGTCTGGTGAGCAGGATCTCAGTTTCTCTCTCCACCCCCAGCACAGCCCAGGCTGGGCACCTGGGATGGGCTGAACAGGCCCTGCTGATAATGGCCCAGCTCTGTGCTCTTCCCCAGTGCAGACTTCACTTCAAGGTCTCATGGGTGGCTGTGAGGGGAAGAGGAACAAGAACTGGACTGGAAGGCATGCAGACCTAGATGCCCGTGCCACTTCTGCTGCCACCTAGCTGTGTGACGTGGGCAAGCCACTTAACCTCTCTGTGCCACTTCCATCTGCTCTTATATAAAGGAGGCTAATACTCCCCACTACCTCCAAGCGTGCGGAGCAGTCAATGCCTAGCTGCCGTGATGTGCACAGCGCGGCCTGGCCCCCCTCTGGATGCTCACTTAACAGAGCAGAACACGAGGCAGGAGAGGAAGGGCTGGTCTCTGTGATGCCCACCCCCAGTCCATCTGGAACACCCCAGAGCCCGGCAGGCTGAGGAGAGGGGTCTGAGCCCAGGCCCTCAGGGCCTCCAGCCTGTGTCCACCATGGCTGGGGGATCGACAAGGGCCTCCTAGGAAACCTCCCAGAGCTCCCCAGACATGCAGGCAAGCTGACCCGGCCGGCTCTCCGCAACCCTCCACACAACACGTAGTTGCCAGCTATCCCTGGGTGTTTTAGCATCTGACCTCACCTCTTCCTCCTCCACCTCTCCTCCACCCTTCTCCTTCCTCCTTTTTCCCTGCTCTGTCTGCCCTTTCTCCCTCTCTCCATCATCTCCCCAGCTCCCCACTCCTCAGGATGCAGATACAACAAAGAGGCCTTAGTGGCTTAGGCTCCTGGTGGGCACACTGCATTCTTCTTGAACACATCCCGTGCTGCCCCTCACAGCCCCGCTAGCATTTCTGAGCGGATGCTACGTCCTGGAGGACCAGGGCCTGCGCTCAGCAGGAATGTTCTTCCAGTGAGCATGTCTCCTGGGGTCGGGTCCAGCATGCCCTAGAATGATACAGTCCTCCTTCCTAGGGAAAATGGAGAGTGCCTTTCCAAGGGCTTTGTTCTCAGCATCCCTGGTGCTGTCTTCTCCCCGGTGGCTGGTAGACTGGGGCTGGATCTCCATAGAGATTCTCTCTGTTGGGCCTCTGGAAGGACTGGGGGAGGGAGACCAGAGGGCCCTTGACGACCAACGGTTCCTCATCACTGGGCCTGCAGCTTCACCCCACATGAACCCGTAGCAAGCGTGCAGGGCAGAGCGCTGACCTGGGAGTCTGCAGTCCTGGGTTTCCACTCCCCATTCTGACTCCTACTAACCTTGGGGCAGACACTTCGCCTCTCTGAGGTGCTCCATCTCTAAAAGGAGATCCATAATTTCTGACTTTATGTGCTTGTTTTAAGAGTCAAAACGAGACTACGTAGGTGCAAGGTCCTATCCAAGATAAAATATCACTGCTGCTCCTGTGTGCCTGGTCTCCCAAGAGGTGCCCTGAAAAGCACCAGACACAAATCCCACTTTCAAACACCTTACAAGCCAGTGGAGGAGACAAAACTGACGCCTGACAAGTTTACAGTAATCCAACAGACACTTGGTGGCAAGCACACTGTAGAGACACAGTGCTACAGGAATGAGAGGTCAGGGAAGGGCATCAGGCTGGGCTTCATGGAAGACAGGGCCATCCGCCGGCACTGAAAGAGCACCAGGCACTGTGTGTACATGATTAGTCTCATAAAACCCCATGAGATGGGACTATCCTTGTTGTACAGGGTGGGAAACAGACTCAGCCCAAGTTCAGACAGTTGTAAGTGCTGACTTGAACCTGATCTTTCTGACTCTGCAGTTCATACTGTGTTTTCTCCAACTTTTTATTATGAAATATTTCAACATACAAAAATAGTTGAGAGAATGGTACAATAATCACCCCCCATCTAGGTTAATTATCGTTTAACATTTTGCCATATTTCTTTTTCTGCGTGTGTGTGTGTGTGTGTGTGCGCGTGTGCATGTACTTATTTCTTTTGTGGAATCATTTGAAAGGAGGCCGCAAACATCATGACTCCTGCCCTCTCCTCACATCAGCAGGCATTTCCTACAAAGGAAGACAGTTTCCTACATTAGCACATCTCCATGATCACATCTATGAAAATTAACAATTCCTCAATACCATCCAAAACCCAGACCATATTCAAAGTTCTCCAAAATGCCTTTACAGCTATTCCATATTTTGAACCAAGATTGGGAGCCACGTTGCTCCGGAGTGTTTTCGTTTGGTTGTGACATCTCTTTTGGCTCCTTTAAATCCAGAACACTCCCAACACCTTTTTTTTTTTTTTT